TAACATTAAATAAATAAAGTGCCAGTTCAAGAGTTTTGGCAGAAATTTGCCCCATCTGGTCACAAGTTGAGATGACACAATTGTTATGAAGAGATTATGATATCTGGGTTAAGAAAGTCATAAATAGTGTGGTTATTTTGAGCAATGCTTCTTGTTTTTTTGGCGAAAGTGGGCTATTGAAGAGCAGATCTGAGCTCCTTCACTGCAAAAACAAATAGAAATAAGTACAAATTGTCTTAAATAAAGTGAATTTGTCCTTAATTTGAGTAGGTAAATAAGATGACCTGCCAAAGGAATAAGATTCTTTACTCTTAAAATAAGACAATTAGATAATATGCTCTTGAAATAAGACAGCAATAATTTTTTTACTTAGTCTAAGTGTAAATTGTCTTTTTCCAATGGCAAAGTGTCTCACTTACCTCCTCAAATCCAGAAAGAAATGCCCTTAATTTAAAAGAAATCACTTATTTAGATTTAAGTTTTTTTGCACTTTTGCTGCAGCCTTCCTCAACATTTAGCCATCTGAGTGCCAACCAGGTATCAGCTCAGCCAAAAGTTAAATGTTTTACTCTTGTGTTGAGCCAGTGATGGGGTCTGACCTATTAATCTGAACTTTAGACTGCTTTGATCCAGTTGATCTTTCAAAGTTAGAAAAAACTACTGTCTTCATCTATTGTAAACCTTCACCTTTGTTAGATTCAGTTTAAACCTTTGCTTAAGAAACCTTCTCTTGACCCAGATGACTTGGTCAATTATAGACCTATATCCAATCTTCCTTTCTCCTCTAAAATTCTTGAGAAAATAGTTGCCAAAAAAGTGTGCGATCACTTCCACCATAATGAGCTTTTTGAAGAGTTTCAGTCTGGCTTTAGAGCTCATCATAGCACTGAAACAGCTCTGGTGAAAGTCACTAATGATATTCTCATGGCCTCAGATAATGGACTTGTATCTGTGTTCATCCTGTTGGATCTTAGTGCTGCATTTGATACAGTTGACCATAATATTCTTTTAGAAAGACTTGAATATTTTGTTGGAATTAAAGGAACAGCACTAGACTGGTTTAAATCTTATCTATCTGATCGAATTCAGTTTGTTCACGTTAATGATAGATCTTCCACATGCACAAATGTTACCTGTGGAGTACCACAGGGATCAGTGCTTTCTCCTTCTGAATTCAGACAAAACAGAAGTTATAATCTTTGGACCAGAGTCTTTGAAAAATAAGCTGATTAGTCAGTCCTTTCATTTGGATGGGATTAAACTGATTTCAGATAATAAAGTAAAAAATCTTGGTGTTGTTTTTGATCAGGACCTGTCATTTAAATCCCATATCAAAGAGATTTCTAGAATTTCCTTCTTTCATCTGAGGAACATTGCAAAAATGAGAAATCTCCTGTCCAGGGGTGATGCTGAGAAACTAGTCCATGCATCTGTTACTTCAAGGCTGGACTATTGTAATTCTTTACTATCAGGAAGTCCACAAACTGTAGTTAAAAGCCTTCAGCTGATCCAAAATGCTGCAGCCAGAGTTCTGATAAAAATGAAAAAGAGAGATCACATCTCTCCTATCCTGGCTTCTCTTCATTGGCTTCCTGTTAAATCAGAATAGAATTTAAAATCCTCCTTCTCACATATAAAGCCTTAAATGGCCAAGCTCCATCTGATATCAGAGATCTGATTGTTCCTTATGTTCCTAACAGAGCACTTCGCTCTCAATCTGCAGGTTTACTAGTGGTTCCTAGAATTTCTAAAAGTAGAATGGGAGGCAGATCTTTTAGTTATCAGGCTCCTCTCCTGTGGAACCAACTACCAGTTTTAGTCCTTGAGGCAGACACCCTGTCTACTTTTAAGGCTAGGCTTAAAACTTTCCTTTTTGATAAAGCTTATGGTTAGAGTGGCTCAGGTTATCCTGAGCTATCTCTATAGTTCTGCTGCTATAGGCTTAGACTGATGGATCCTCCAGATCAAGGACCTTCCAAGATGTCAGCACAGAAAAATAATGACAAAACAGCCCAAGAGATTCACTGCTGCTAAAAACAGTCAAGAGTCTCAAAATGCTAAAAAAAAAACTAAAATCTAATCAGCCATTAAATCTTTAGATGTACCCTCTAAATGCGTCACTTCTCAGGAGTTTTGACCTGTGATTGGTCTGACCTGTGATAGTATCTATCTTGTAAACTGACACACCTGACTTCAATATGAGCTAATTAGCAAAGCTTGACTAATGCTATCATGGTAGCTTAGCTATTTGATTCAGGGTTAGGGGATGCTGCTAAAAGAACTTTCTTTGGTTTAAATGCAAACAAAGTGAACCTTCAGGTGAGTCACATTTGAAACAGCCTTTACCAGAGGGCGGTGAAAATCCCTGCTGTTGGAACACATGCAGACTAATATCCTCGACCTCACAAGTCTCACTCAAACATAATGCTTTGCATTTCCCTCAGATCCCGTTTCTGAGGAAGATGGTGTCCACCTGGAAGCAGACCATCTGGCTTCTACTTTCACTCAGTTTTTCAACAAATCACTGCAATGGTGAAATATTCACTTTGACTTCCAAACCCTTCACCATCATCCCAGTTCCAGGGATACGCACAATTAAGGGGTTAAACGATGCAGGCCTGCAGCTCTGACCTCTGTGGTCATGAAATCTTTTAAGTGACTGATGTGGGAGCATCTGAAGGAGATCACAGGCCCCATTCTGACCCCCTGTAGTTTGCTTACTGGGCCAAAAAGGTCTGCAGAGGATGCAGTCTATCTAGGGATACATTTTAATATGCACCGATTCCTTCGATCAACAGTGGTCTACACTATGATTTGGTACTATTAGTTCCACCTTTAACACCAACAGCAGAGACCGCCAATCAGAAGCGTCCTTCTGATTGGCGTCAGCTGCTGCAGGTGATAATTGGTGAGAAATAAACAAAGTCCAAATAAATATATAAATCAAACCAATTTAGTTCTGGTCTTCATTTAAATTGGTAAAAATAACAAAAAGGTAATGTGAAGTCAGAATCAGGCCAGGAGGGAGTTTGTTGCAACCTCAACCCAAAAGGTCCACTATGGCTGCCTTGGACATCACCCTCACTCAAAACTGCACTAAAAATCTGCAGATCTTTATTTAATCACACAGTGATAAACAGTGTTTAAAAGAAATATATTACAATTTTGCTCTAATACAAATAACAACAAAAAAAACATGAATAATATCATGTTAGTAAGCACACCCTGCTGGTTAATAAACATTGAACTGGAACAAGGTCTATGCTACGTACAGACTGGAGCAGGAGCAGCAAAGACACGCGTGTAATGGCAGCTATATTTGCTGTGATCAGCGGGTAAAAAGTAGTTTAAATCTATGTTGAAGTGAGAAAGTCCTCCTGAAAACATGGTCTGTGCAGTCAGTTCATCCAGATTACCATCCTGCCTTCAAAGATTATTTCTCTGTGGGAGCCGCTCAGACCCCCACATACCGGCGGTGCGCTGTCACTGGGAATCCCCAGCAGCAGCTGCCTCAGGCCCGCTCACCTCTTGGGGGTTTTCCCCTACTGTTGATGGCGGCTGGAAGTAGATGTTAGCGTTTTTCAGGTCTGTGCTACAAACTGCAGGCAGCAGGATAAGAAAAGCAAACATATTCTGCCGGCAGGTTTCAGCATTTTAAGTTAATTTAGGCGTTAATAAACTGTTTCAGAGGAGTGATCATAGCGCTCTGCAATCAGCAGTGCTGTGTCTGACTCCCTGCCAGCTCCCAGATCAGCTTCTCTGATTGGTCCAGCAGCTAAAGTTCAAGTTTTCAACTCCAGCTGCTTCTGAAGCGCCTCAGAAGCACATGAGTTGCTGCTGCTCTTGCTCTAAATATGTTGCGGGACCTTTTGCTGCGCCTTGATGCGCGTCAACCATTGACTTTGTATTTAAACCTGCTGCTTCTGCTGCTTCAGGTGTTAACGTAGCATAACTGTTGCAGCTTCAGTCTGAACAGGAACCTCTTTAAAAATTTCCCCTTAAGTTTTCATTTTCAGAGTCTGTGAAACTGAAGGTAAACTCCAACAATCAGCTGTTGTGTTATCTTTTAACATTTCAAGCAGAGTGAAATATTTAAATTGAACTGATCCTCAGATGAAAGTGGAGTAATTTCCATCGCGCTTTATACCTGCTGGGGTGACGAGGGGTGCTGGTGCCTATCTCCAGCTGTCTATGTGTAAGAGGCGGGTCCACCCTGGACAGGTCGCCAGTCCATCGCAGGGCAACACAGACAAACAACCATTCACGCACACACTCACACCTAAGGATAATTTAGAGAAGCCAATTAAACTGACATTCATGTTTTTGGACTGTGGGAGGAAGCAGGAGTACCCGGAGAGAACCACGCATGCTCAGGGAGAACATGCAAACTCCATGCAGAAAAACCCCAGGCCGGGAATCGAACCTAAAACCTTTCGTCTGCAGGGCAGCAGTGCAACCCACTGCTGCATTGAGCAGATGAAAGTGAAGTAATTAAAGTAAATCAGCCTGATTTCTTCATTTTATAGAAACCTTTTGACCTTTGACCTGCAGAAGGAAGCCCCTTCATGCGCAGTGAGAGTAGGTGTTTCTGTGAAGCACTGAGGGATTATGGCTGTTGGTTCGGACAGATTAGGAGCATCTGACAGTCTTACTGAACCAAAGCACTCCTTCAGGCTTGACAGCTTCGCTTCGGAGCTGATAGGAGACCTTCTGCTCCTCAATGTTTTCATTTCTCATCTAACTGAAGCATCGCAGCGAGTCTCCTAAAACACGGGACACATCCCAGAACCCACAGAGAGGCGGACGGAGCCTCAGCAACACCGACTGACTCCGGTCAATGTGGCCAAACTTGAACCCAGAGATCTCTCCAAGCTGCGTCTCTCCAAGCTGCGCACCTGGAGCTGCTGCGCACAGTTGGCCAGCTGGTTTTCTCCTAAAGTAACCTACAGCTGTAAACGCCGCAGCCTAGAGCGGAACAAACACCCCGCAGCTTTTCTTACCTTGGTGGCAGATGAGGATAAAGTGCGCAGCCAGAAGCAGCCCGCAGCCTTTAGTCTCCATGTTGCGGGAAGCGCGCGCGTAGCTCGGAGAAGTAATTCAGATGAAGTGGGGAACAGGTCCCGGTCCGTCCCAGCTCCTCACTGCTCCTCCATGCTCATCCTACTACGGCTCCTTGTTTGGCTGCGTGTGTGTGTGTGTGTGATATAGAGAGTGTGTGCGCGCGCTGTCCTCCCTCCGCTCTGCCTGAAGAAGCCGCCAGACTGAAGCGCTGCACCGCCCACAGTTCGAGGTCACGCCGGCTCCATTTCTTTCACACAACGAGCCCGAGCTGCGCTTCTCACACTTATAATGCACAGCTTAGCTGATAGCTAATGGGGGGAAATAAAGACCAAAACAATGGGAAAGCAAATAAAGAGGAGGGACAGAGGGGCCAAGGAAACAGAAGACAAGGATGGGGACAGAGGAAGAGAGGATAGAAGGGGGCTGAAAGAAACCAAAGTCTGCTCTGGAAAATAGAAAATAAAAAAGTTTGAACTTGCAGCTGAATGGAGAGCCCTCCTTCCTCTATAGGGAAACGGAAAGGTTCACCACAAAGTAAATATGGATGAAAGAAAATAAAAATAAAGAAGAGAGTTTATGTGAAGTTTCTCAGCTGTATTGGAATGGATCCATCTTCTGCTCATGGAGAACAGTTTCAGAACCATCAGTACAATAAGTTGAGTTTGATAATTTTATTTCATGAATTATTCTATCCTGTCACTAAAAAATAGCTTTAAAATACAAAGAACAAACTATTTTTCAGCTTGATGCTTTTTCGTTTTTTTTTTACCCAAAACATACCAGCCACTTTAGTCTCAATTCTATTCAGTTTATTTCTATAGCGCCAATTCACATCATGTCATCTCAGGTCACCTTACAGTTCACCAGATCATCCAGTCAGATTGATTAAAAGTTTTCTATCTAAGGAAAACCAGCTGATTGCATCAACTTATTGACTCTTCAGCAATCCCTCATACTAAGCATGCTTGTAGCGACAGTGGAGAGGAAAAACTCCCTTTGAACAGGAAGAAACCTCCAGCAGAACCAGGCTCAGTGTGAGCGGCCATCTGCTGAGGCCGACTGGGGTTCAAGGAGACAGAAGCAGACATAGAAAAAGAAGCATAGATACAAAAGGCAACTGTCAACCAGCTCCACAGGCGGTCCCGTCCAGGAAACACACACAGCTAGGCAGACAAGCTCCAAGCCAGCTCCCATGTCAGAGGATGAAGAGAGCACATCCAGTTAGTCACAGTCAGAGAAACAGGACTACACTGGAAAACAGGCCAAGCTCCAACATCTAGAAACAAAGGTGTTGATGGCAGCAGCACAGCTGATATTTCTCTCCAGGATGGAGTCACAGCCAAACAGGAACAGACCAGGTTAAGCTACTATGAGAAAAAGCAGAGAGAGCAGAACGTTAGAGATTGAACTAACAGATTCTGCAGATTGGGAGAATAGAGATAGAATGAAGCAGAATGATGAAAAAGGGGTCCCTATGTCCTCCAGCAGTCTAAGCCCAACAAATCATGTTCAGTGTAGTTTAGGTCTGACAAATCTAAATATGCCTGATTTTAAACTAGACATGGTCATGTCTACCATACCGAATTAAAGGAAGAATCCTGTCAGCGAGGAATAATCAATGGATCATTATTTATACCTAAAGCTAATACTGTTGGGATCTGGAGATCTACCACTTGTCTCCAGCAGAGAGCGCTGTGGGTCTCCTGGGCTGGAGCCTCCAGCACACCTAAGGACCATCAGCCCATCAGGAGACCTTCTACATAAGCAGCAGTCAGACCTTCCTTCAACGCCGCAGTGTTGACCAAGTTTGGTTAGCGAACCTGAGCCTCTGTTTATCTTAGTGAATCTTAGTTGACTCTAGAAGAGAAACTAGATTCTAACCTGCCTCTGTCTTCTTTGCTCACAGAGAACCCGACTGAAGTCTGAAGCTCTGGATGAGCTGTGCCTGGAAACCTGCCTGCCTGCCCAAGGAAGCCAAACCTGAAGATATCAGTCTGGATTCCTCCACCAGCTCTCAAGGAAGAGCTAGGAAACCAAGCCAAGATCTGAAACTCACAAGCCAGAAGCTAGACACTGCTGCTGCTGAGCTCTCTGCTGAATCTACTGTCTCTGGACCCAACCGGTTCCCCCTCTCAAAGGGATCAGCCAGAACCTCATCAAGGTGCATTCTGAATAGACACACTTGACAAACCATCGAAGCTGCCTGGCTAATCAAACTATCCATCTCTGCAGATATCAGTGATTCCAGTCTCGGACCTGTACCAGAACCAGTCCATATTACTCTGTGTGTGTGCTCCTTCAATAAACTCTGTTAAACTTTTACTCAGCGTCATGTGGTGTTCTGCATGTGGGTTAAGTCTCTTAAGCCTATCATGACAAATACGTTCATGGGGATTTAATTAATTTAGTGTTAATCAGTAAAATAATAAAAACATACGTATAATAATTGTTAAAAAAAGAAAAATAATTTTTGCCATGATCACTGAGTCTGGGAGCGGCCAGTTTTGCCCAAATATAGTAACCCCTCCCTCCTGCCATCTTCCAGCAGTGACGTCACGGTGCGGTAAGCCTAGCGCCATTCTCCCCGCTTTACAAGCAAAATCAATGGGAACTACTAGACACATCTGCAATCAGCAACAATTATTGAAGAGTTCCAGAGGACTTCACCATTGAAATTCACCAGAGCTATAGTGAAACTGACAATGCCCACGTGCATGGCAGCTGGATGTTAGAATACATCGGGTAAAAGTGAAAAGTGAGTCATTTCCCCTTTCTGATTCCTGATCCTCCACGGACGGGTTGGTCGTTGGATTGCCAACTTGAAGAGGGAGGATTTGCCATCGAACTTCTGGCCAGAGAAAAAACACGTAATATGTAGCCAACATTTGGAAGAAGAATGTTTTCAAGATGACTTGGATAATAGCGCGTTGTAACAAACACCAGATACAGCACTGGGACTTGATCAACAGCCGATACCGCACCGTGACGTCACAAACCAGTAGGTGGCAGTAGTGTTCTTTGACAAACATGGATGCCTCCAGTAAAGCGCATTCACGTGAAAATTACTCTCAATTAAAAACACTGATCATTTATTGAAGAATATGTAATAATTGCATATTTATGTATTACCAGATTTTTTCTTTAAAGCCATATAAGCTCTCAATGTTGCAGCTAAACCCTGAAAAGCTAGTCATACACGCTGGGGCTTTCCAATCAATATTCTGACATATACTGTATATATACTCATGTCAAACAGAAAAGTAATTCTTGAAAACTACAAATATTTGTCAAAAAAAGCCAAACTAACTGAGCCATTTTACCCCTCTAAGCTGGTCCACATTTTCATGAAGCGTCAAACTAACCATGCAGCCACAGGAGGGACCAAGAAACGCCTGCAGAAAGGCAGAGGCTTCCTAAACTCATAAAAGACATGATTAGTTCTGGGTGGACAGAGGAGGCTGGAACCAGAAGACCTGAGTGAAAAACGATCTGTGCCAACTGCCGAGCTTGGTTCCTTACAACCGTTTACATACCGCATTAGTACGGTTCCACAAGCAAACCGATGGTAAACAAGCAAACCACCATGGCGTCACTAGTAACATGCAGAGAGTCAGACAAAGAAGGCAGCCTTTGGTGAATTTACTAGACAGAGTCGGCTTTTGGGAAGTGGGTACAACAAACAATAGTCTAATCAGGGGTTCCAGGCGCAGAAAACAACGACAGACGTTTAGGTTAATCAGAGTGCTAAGAAGATCATCGCTGGAAATCGTGTGTCACGGTAGGGAAGGTAGGATTTTTATGAATGGCTGAAATTTCCTCATTATGGAGGCTGAATGCATGGTAGGGTGACCAGGCATCCTCTTTTTCCTGGACATGTCCTACTTTTCATACCTAAAAAATTTCAAAATCATTCAGGATTTTGGTCGATTACAGTGCAGCAGATCCGATCTGTCAGCTCCGGGGCTGGTCCGGGAACCCCGGAAGATGGGGGCAGGAAGCCAGCCGGGGGAAGGAGCGACCGAACCCTACCTGGTGACGGTAGTCTGGACACCGGAGGGCCCGTCTGGGGGAAGCACACCGTCACCGGGTCGGGTTCGGATCAGCTCAGGAGTTGATGACTAGGTTTGAATGCCCGGTCTAACTAGCTAACAAGTCAAGAAAAAAGGTAAAAAGCTAATTGAAAAGTTAAAAAGTAAAGTTAAAAAGTTATTAAGACTAGTAAACAATTATATTTAGGTTTATAAAGTATAAAATTTAAGTGTCAGTATCAGCATTAATGCCTCTAAGGTTATGTTGCACAAAAAAATTGTTTTTGAATTAATTTCTTATAGAAGAACTTATGTTATTTTTCTTAATATATTCGGACAAGTTGGAGTTTTTTGGTATTACGTTGACATTCATTTTTGCCATCAGAATATCCATATTTTTTAATGTTACAAAGGTAATAAGGTCTTGTCCTGGATTCCAATAACGCTATTGGCCTGTCATAGAAGAAGTTGTTATCTGGATCCACGTTGTCTTCCATGTCCTGACTTTAAAGGAATAGTACACGGAAGTCTGCCGTCTTCCGTAGCGTCGTGATCGCGCATGTGCGCGCTTTCAGGAAAAATCCTATACACTACTGTTTATGCTCTAAAAACATTCTAAATGACTTCGTTTCGAGTAAATTCTGGATGCTACCCACTCAGGAAACTTGGAATACATTGGACGAGCAGTATGGAGGAATATTGAAACGTTTTTTGTGGACTTTTATGGACCTTTCTGCCTCGGGCGCTGGGCACCTCCATTATTTGAATGTCAGCAGACAGCAAGAAGCCTCCCAGATCTCCAGATGCATTTGAGATATCAAAAAAGTACTCCAGGGTGTTGTTCAGCATGGGGGTGAGTAGAAAATGAAGGCTAATCATGTTTTGGGTGTACTATTCCTTTAAAGGGATAGTTCGGTATTTTTGACATGAATCTGTATGGCATCCCCATCACCAGCGGCATGCAATCACACTGACTTACCCCTGGCAGCGTCCTGTGAGCAGAGTTATCGTCCAGTTTTGGTCAAGCCGAAAGTAGTCCTGCAGGTTTTTAGGTACAGCGAAATAAAACTTTTCTCTTCCCAAAACATTATGTGTTCAAAAGAGTGATATTTTCGCATCCCAAAAACGTTGTAGTTGAAAAAGTCACACGTCATTATCAATTGGTCCTATTTTCTCTCTGTTCGTATCAGTGCGCGCCGTCATTCAGACAGCGAGCCCAACAACAGCCATGTCTCCCTCCG